AAAGAGAGGTTTATAAGTATGGCCCTATAGCCATCAAAGAGACCTGGTTGCAAGGAAATCAAAGCTGGGAAATAGTCAGAATTATGTGACTTCTTGAAACGACAGGCAGAAAGCAAAATGTATTCGATAGCTGTGACAGTACAGGTGGTAAGTATAATAGCAAGAAATGCTTTTGGTTCATGTAGAATCCACTTGGCTGGAGGTAAGAAATAACAAGGGAAAGAAGATATTGGTTGGAGTAGGTTATCAGCCCTCAGTAGTAATTATATGATACGACAGAAAATAAATTAGGAGATAATGAGGGCATGCGAAAAAAACACATCAATCATGGATGACTTTAATCTGCACACGTTGCGAAAGTCAGATTGGCAGAGGTAGTCACAAGGAAGAATTCATAGACCGCATTCAGGAAAGTTTCCTCGAACAATGTTATGGATCCAACCCAGGAACAGGCTACTTGGATGTGGTGATATCTAACGCAGCATTTAATAAATGATCTGAAAATAAAAGGTCTGCTAAAGAACAGCAGCCATAACATAGTGGAATTTGGCATTCAAATTGAGAGGGAGAAAGTTGGGTCAGAAACAGATTTGGTAAGCTTAAATAAGCGTAATTACAAAGGAATGAGGACAGAGGTGGCTGGAGTGGACTGGGTAAGGAATTTAGTGGCAATAACAGTTGAGGAACAATGACAAACATTAACAAAATAGTTCATGGCAATAAAGTATATTCCATGAGAAAGTAGGATTCTAGGAAGGGTATAAGCCAACCATGGTTAACTAGGAAAGTTAAGGCTAGCATACATTTGAAAAAGAAAACGAAAAAATTAAAATGTGGCAAAGATTAGTGGTAAGCTAGAGGACCAGGAAAGTTGTATACCGCAAAAGATGACCAAAAAGATAATAGAAGGAAAAACATAAGGCTTTGAGGATAAACTTGCAAGTATGAAAATGGACAACAAAAGTTTCTTAAATTATATAAAAAGAAAAAGTGGCCAAAGTGAACATGGACCTTTTAGAGAATGAGGCTGGGCAAATAATGAAAATGGCAGAGGAGTTGAATGAACACCTTGCATCAGTATTCATGGTAGAAGACACTAATAGCTTTCCAAAATTACTAATTAAGGAGCTAAATGGGGAGAGGAAAAAGTACAATAACTAACACCAGAGGAAAAGTATTAGGGAAAGTAATGGGACTAAAGACCGATAAGTCATCTGGTCCTGATAGGATGATATTAAAAGAAATAGCTACAAAGTTAGTGTATGTCTTCCAAGAATCCTTAAATTCTGGAAAAGAGGCGGTAGATTGGAAACGGCCAATGTCGAGGTGCTACCTCTATTCAAAAAGGGAAGGAAACCAAAATCAGATAACTAAGGTCCAGTTAGCTGTACAACTGTATTGGGAAAATGTTGGTATCTATTATAGAGGATGTAATAGCAGTGCATTTGGAAATATAAAACATAATCAAGCGGAGTCAGGACAGCTTCATGCAAGGGAAATCATGACAGACAACTTCATTTTAATTCTTTGTAGAGGTAACAAGCAGAATAGGTAGAGGGGAAGGAGTAGATGTAATATATTTGGATTTTCAGAGGCTGTTGTTAAGGTATCACATGTTAGGCTACTTAATAATATAAGATTATATGGTGTTGGAGATAGTATATTAGCGTGGATAGAAGAATGGCTTACTAATAGAAGACAGATGGTTGCGATAAGGGGCTAATTTTCAGGATGGCAACCTGTTAACTAGTGAAATGCTGCATAGATTATTTCTGGGACCACAATTATTTACAATATATATCAATGACATGGCTGAGGAAAGCGAATATATTATAGCCAAGTTTGCAAGTGACAAAATAGACGAGGAGGCAACTGATAAGGGTGACAGAAAGAGTCTACAGAGGGGTACAGACAGGTTAAGCCAATGGGACGAAACTTGGCAAATTGAATATAGTGTGGGAAAGTGTGTGGTTATACACTGTGGTAGGAAGAATAGAAGTGCAGAATATTATTTAAAAAGAGAAAGACTGCAGAAAGGTACAACACAGAAGGATTTGGGTGTCCTCATGCATAAATCATAAAAAGCTAGCATACAGGTTCAGCAAGAAATAGAGAGGGCAAATGAAATATTGGCCTTTATTTCAAAGGGAATGGAATATAAAAATAGGGAAGACTTCCTAAAACTATACAAGACACTAGTTAGGCTATGCCTGGAATACTGTGAACACTTCTGGTCCACTTATTTAAGGAATAATATACTAGCATCAGAGACAGTTCAGAAAAGGTTCACTAGGCTGATCCTAGATATGGAGGCATTGTCTTGTGAAGAGAGTTTGGGTAATTTGGGCCTATTACTCTCCGGAACTTAGAAGAATGAAAGACAGACATTTTGAATTATACAAGATTCTTTGAGAACTTGACAGGGTTGATACAGTGAGGTTGTTTCCCTTGTGAGAAAGTCTAGGAACAGACAGCATAATCTCAGATGGTAGTGAAACTCTGGAATTCTTTAATGCAGAGTGCTATGAGCTGGCTCATTCAGTATATTTAAAGCCAAGATAGATTTTTTTAATCAGTAAGGGAATCAAGTATTATGGGAAAAGGCATGAAAGTGGAGTTGAGGATTATCTGTTCAGTCATGATCTCATTGGATAGTGAAACAGACTTGATAGGCTGTGTGGCCCACATCTGCTTCAGTGTCTTATGGTCTTCTTGCCAATTTAGAATTTTTACTCCTGTTCTATCTTTGTCACTTTTCATAGTGATGTTATATCTAACTATTACAATCACCATCTCTAAAACAATCTCCCACTGCTATTTCATCCAGCTACTCAGCTTCATTTCCTTGGACTAAATTTAGAATTATGCCCTTTCTCATCAGGTTTGTTGTTTGCTGAAGTTCTCTTGAACCCAATTCAAAAATTGTTGTGTGTGCTTCTTTCACTCTGTTTGTATCCCAGCTGATATTAGTGTAGTTCAGTTCTCAATTATTGCTGCCCTATTGCTTTTGCACATTTGCCTACATATTTCTTTAACCAACAATGCTACATCTGCATGAAGACAGATGGTGGAAGCTAGAGTTATAAATATAGAGTTGGAAAAGCACAGCAGGTTAGATGACATCCGAGGAGCAGGAAGTCAATGTTTCAGGCAGAGTTCTGACAAAGGGTTTCAGCCCAAACGATTGACTTCCCTACTCCTTGAATGCCGTCTGATCTGCTTTGCGTTTCCAGCTCCACATTTATCTACCCCATGCTACACACCAGATTTTTTTTAAAAACATACACCTCCAACCTCCATGGAAACTCTATATCCAAAGACGTTGAGCTGCCATCCTTGCCCCTCTAAGAGAGATGTGCATTATAGCATTTTAATACTCAAAATCATGCATGGATTCTAGGGGTACAAGGAATTTTCTAAGTGAAGGCTACTGATCCCTGTGGGATCCCAGATATAGAGACAAAGTAAGTAACTGTTTAATAGAACAACCATTGACAATATCATTGGGTTTCTGAAATGTAATTCTTGTGCTTGGATCAGACAGTTGCCATTGTAAAGTGACCTCCTACAATGGTCTGTTATTGTGGGAACGTACTACACACAATAACATGTCCTTATAAAGAGATATGGTCCATGAGGACAATGAGGCCCTGAAAGTCAACTCATTTGAGGGAGAAACAGAAGGACATGCACTGAACAGAGAGGTGCTAATGCTTAATGATGTGACCATCTTCCTCCCTCTTTACAACCTCCAATGTTTGATTCTGATCAGAATCAATGAAGTGCAGCTTGAGTCTGAGGCCTCCCTAATCTGTTATCATTCTTTGTGTATCTTGGCTTGAGTTGTGTCCTTGATTGGGATCATGTGATGGTGGGAAGCCAGGTTGTTGGCAAATTTTACCTTCCATTGAAAAGGTGTCTTTAACGAAGTCTTAGCAGCCTCTGATTCCACGTGGTCTGACGTTATTGAAGTCTTTATATATTTTTAATATTACCCCTTGACATTTTGCTTCCCACTGCTGCAGTGGAAACCTTGGCACCATCAACAGAATTCTGCCACAGCCTCAGTGATTGTTATTGAAATGAGTTCCACACTTCATTGAATCTATCTCCATCCCTTCCCCACTAGTGTTACACATTAGATGATTGTTTTTAAATATAGTCCAAGTCTATACTTTCAATGAGCTTTATTTCGTATTTACACTCTATAAAACTCACATTCCATTGAATACAAGTCTCAATATTCATAGCCAATTCATACTAAATTAACCATTTTAATATATCCATCACCTATTCCCTCAATCCATTAGATCTCAGGCATTCTTTCAGACCATATCAGATGAAAATGACTCGCTCTAAGTGAACAAGAAACCCATCTTTCCACTAATTAAGGGCTTCCTAAGACAAAAACCTGAACTTTGATTAGTTTCCTATCAGAGGTCGGATTCTGCTTCAAAACCAAACCTACCTTTGTGGTGAAAGTTCAGGCTTTAGGCTGAAATGTTCCTCATTTCATCTTCGGCAGCTGATTCCAGCTGAGCTGGTTACAACTCAGTCTAATTTAACCAGAATGCAACAATAGTGCCAACCCAGGAAACCTCTTGCTACATGTAACAGGCCTTAAATCTGACATACAATAGACAAATGAAGAGAGAATTTGGCAGGTAAATCCCACAAAATTTATAAAAATGTGAGAACCTATGCGAGGCTTGTTAAATGGTACAAGGCAGAAACAATCAACTTTCAACCAATTTATATGCTTAGAAGAACTTATGTTTGTGAAGTTCCCTAGTAACTGTTGTAGTAATAGTGAATTGTAATATGATGCTTTATATTATGATGATGGATGACAGGTACTTTGAGACTAATAGCCATAATGATGGCCCATTTTAAAGGGAAACCAAGCAAATCTGCTGCTTCAGAGAGATTTGATTTGAATCTGGCAAGAAGTTTTCAAATATTAAATTTGAAAGGGACATGAGCAATTTAATAATACAAACCATCAGATGATCTTTTTGTGGACGTGGTTGTTAATCTGAAACCTGCAGGAAGTGTTTCAGAAGATCCAGGCATCATGCTGATTCCATGAACTTCACGGGGAGGGAACTGTTTTCTCCAGGATGGCCTTCGCTGGAAGTTTTTCTCATCATCCTTGTGGAAATACATGTAAAGAAAATATTTAATTTGGTTTATAATTTGTAGATAACATGCAAAAAGCTTCACTTTATATACACATGACAATAAATCTAAATTACAAGTTTGTTTTCTCCCCAAATCTGGGTGTCAGGCAGGCAGAAAACAAATGCTTGTAAATGCAGGGCTCAAAACAGATGAGGCAGTTGGTGAATCTGCTGAAAGACATCAAACTAACCATGAAAATTCAATCATGGGGAAAACTAAGACAAAAGGTTACCCCCACAGGGGGAGTCAACAAAATTGATGGGCGGGACTCAGGCTGGTTCTGTCCTGTGTTTACTGCTGATAAGCTAGGGAGCCTACCATCAATCTTGAAAGAGAACCAATCTGTGACTGGGTGAGCAATGAGCATTTAGGAAATTAAGTGGTGGCAGTAATGAAGTTGCTTAGGCAGGCAGAGCTGTGTTTTCCTGGAGGCTTTGGGCACATCTATTGCTGAGGATCAAGAACTTGCCAGTAGTTATGTAATTTTGTTTTTGACAGCAGATTAAACACTTGTGGGGACCTTTCTAGAAGCTGTGCCTCTTGCTTGGGATGGCGGACTGGGACCTTTGTTGGATCATGGACTGAGGCCCAGGGACTGGGATCTGACAGCCATGTCCTTTGGCTGGTAGCTGAGGTGAATGCCATTTTGCCAAAGGCTTGGCTTTTTGCTGTGGTTGGATGTGGCAGGAACAGCCAGGTGGGGACAGTGGGGAGAGGCATCTACAGAAGATGTTAGTGATAGCTTCAAAAGGGGTGGAATGAGGAAGAAGGCTGTAAGACGTGATGAATAGGAGGTGGGAAGGAGGCCACCAGAGAGTGCATGGGATGTGAAGGCTGCAGGAGGAAATGGGCAAGGAGGCTGAAAGAGAAGAGTGGGATGGAGGAGGCAGGTGCAAGAGGGAGTTGGGGTAAGGAGGAGCATCTAATTCTGCTTGACAGAGTTTAAATGCCCTGCATGTGAACACAAGCAAAAAAATAGTTACTGGATGACTTTATCACTTTATGATAAATTAGTTTGTCAGAATGAACAAGGATCCCCTGAAAACCAAAAATGTAGCCTGTGAAAGCCAAAATGTAGTCCTTGAGAATATGTTAACTACAGCCCTTAAAAACATGGCTTTATCCTGGCTGAATTCTGGATTTAGACTTTATTTCAATCTCATGAGGGTCTTTGGCAAAACCTTCTGTCGGTAAATGGGTCAAAATATAGCTACTGATGTAGTCTTGAGACCAGCAGTGAGGATGCCCATCTAGCAACTATTGATAAATAGCAAACAAACAAAAGGGAGAAACAGGATTTTTCTCATTTGCTCTGTTGACCATTCCAGTTTTTAATACTCAGCTTGGGTAGACCTAAGTGGCTGACTTAATGAAACAGTGGCTCATTTCTTCTCAGCAATCTTCCAAGTGTGCATACAGGTGGGACTAGTTTAGTTTAGAAAAATTGTCAGCATGGACTGCTTGGACCGACGGGTCTGTTTCCATGCTGTATGACAATAGGCAACCTTCCACAGTTGGAATGAAAGAAAATAAAGTGGTAAGGCTAGAAACCACAACATTGCACTGGTTCACTCTTCCTGCACCAGTTTTTGGTACGCAGGGAAGCTTAGTTTTCCAGCTGAGCCCCAAAATCCCAGGGCAATATAAAGACAGCATATCTTTCAGGCTGTTATAAAAAGCATGAAGTAAGGGTAGCTTTTTATTAAAAAAGGTACAGTTTGCAATTTTGTAATAAACTGCAGTCCAAATAGTGCCTATTTTGAAAAGTGCTTTATTCCCTTGAATCTGTCCAAACTCATTTAGATTTCACACTTGGCAATATACATGAACCGTTGCATCTGAACACATGCAATAATTTGAAAATATTGCTCTTAAAAATATTCCTTATGTCTTGTTTTAGAACAAAATGTGGCAAAGTTTAATTAACACCATTGAAATTTACTTATCACGAAAAAATGAGCATTTTTAGTCACAGCATCAACCAACTATCTATGAGCAACCTGATTTTAAATTACTAAAGATGTTTTTTAAAAAAGTGAGACACTACTTCCAATTAGATTGAGGTAAATTAGTGAACTCCTTGCAACATTTTTAACAACTTGCAAAATCTTTGAAAGATTTTTTGTCCTATGCCTGAAAGTCTCAAGTTGAATACTGGAGGCTTCAGAAGTATCCAAATTAGTGTAATGATTAGAAACTCCCAACAGGTATTAATGCACCCTGGAAGGTGTGGCTAGTTTTGACACTGGGGCCTGATTTTAGGGCAATGCCTTTAATTATGTATATGATTATGGAAACTTAAGTTGCTCTGAATGCGATTTGTACTTAAAATTCTGAGATCTTTTGCACTGTTTACACCAATGAGGGGAATTGGACCAAAACAAGCAGCCCAATCAAATAGCAAACTCCAGACCAATATATTAAGTTACTACCTGGTCTTAACATCAACCAACATTAACAAAAATTACTCAATTGATGACACTAAAGGATATATAGTCAAAAATTGTTAGAAACAAATTTCAAATTGCCAACTTCATATTTTACAAGTTAGATTCAACAACAACTTAAAGTTACATAATAATGTAGGGTGGAAAAATTACTTACATCATCAAGAGCCCGCTCTGTTCCAAGTGCAAGAAGATTATTATACTCTCTTTCAAGTACCTGCCTCGCCTGAAGAAAAGTGCAGTATTTAATAAATGCTTTTGAAAGTAAAACATATCATACATGCATACCAGCTCATTCACCTGTTTGGATAATTACTTCATGAACTGGAGTTAACTTGATTGATCATATAACAGGCCAGGGAGAAGGATGGACTGCTAGAGGCCTTAATACAGGTGATTGAAAGCAAGGGAGAGTTGCTATAACCACAAAGAACCAGGAGATCCTCCAGCCAAACATTGTCAATGGGAGCAATTAGCCATAGATGTTTTATCAGGAATTTGGCCCTGAGGACGTGGATACAATGCCCATAGGAATTAAATTTCTGCACACAAGTAGTCAAAGTAATTCCAGATTTTGGTATTAACTTCACCATATACAACCACAAGGTGGTTATGGTAGGACTGTGCAAAATACTAGCTATGCTATAGCTTTTCTTCATTCTTCTGGAGGGGTGGGGAGCAGTTATTACTGTTGTTGACAAAGACCTTGAGAAAGCAGTGTTAATCCATCTTCTTGTCCAACTAATATCCATCTGATACCGATAGCCTCACAATGATAGGAAGTAAGTTCTAGGATTTTGTGACAGTGAAAGAATGGCAATATAGTAATGCGTGGCCGAGAGGGTAACTTTGAGGTGGTGGTGTACCCGTGTGTCACTGCCCTGTCCTTCTAGGTGGTAGAGGTTTATAAAGTCCAGTTGATGGGAGCCTTTGCAAGTTGCTACAGTACACCAGGTAGAGGGTACACATTGTTACTGCAGTGCATTAGTGGTGGATGAAGTGAGTGAATGTTCAGGGTGATTGATATTGTCAATCAAGTGGTGAGCCTTGATGTATTGTGTTGAACTTTATATGTCACTGGACCTTTTTTGAACCCAGAGAAACCTGGCCACAGTGGACAGCATATTACTCTGGCCAGAGAAGTGATTGTCCCGAGCAATTTAACTGTTCTAAACTAAATGCAGGGACTTTCCAGGGTGTGCACTCACCTGGATACTGGCCTATGAATTCCCTAACTCATTTAGGTCTAGTGGGAATCTTTTGCTGTATCAAGTCTGCAAACCAACAACGATTACAATGGCTTGCTGATCCAGGTCCTGAAGAAAACTTTAACCATTTGGCTGAGGCTTGGCTTTGTTTTAGGGTTTGGCTCTGGTTTGACCTAGAGTCCGACTGTTCAGGATATGGCCTGAGTCAGGACATGTAATTGCCTTCACTCAAGTGGTGTTTCCCAAGCTTAGTCAGACTGCTGAGGGTGTCCACTTTTGTCAGAATGCACTGCAACTCATCTGCTCCACTTGTCACATTTTACAGTGATAAAGTCACTTATCGTGGCTGTTTGAAGCTCGACTGGGCTTCAGCTAATAGGCGTTTTTACACAGTTACTTCATTAATCCCACTTACAGCATCTCATTAAAGGTTAAACTAAAGTCACAGACCTTTGCCGGTCACCTTAAGCTAGTAGAAAATCCCAAAGTGATTCCCCAGTTCATAAATTGCTGAGTAAAACCAATAACATCTCAAAATTAGAGGCAGCTTGGGGCCATAATATTCTTGAACTAAATCAGTCAAGTCTTGAAAGGTTTTAGTATCTGGTGCCTCATGGAAAGTTGGGCTCCTAATAACTGAAAAAGCTGTGGGTCCACAAGGTGTCAGGAGAATTACTCATTGTTTTTCACCTGCCCCAATGTTATTTGCCAAGAAAAAAAACATTTTTTCCACATACTGGACCCAGTTTTCAATGGCAGGATTGAATGAGTCAAGCTTCACAAATAATGGCATGATGCTAGAAATGCTTACCTCAATTCAAAGACAACTATTGCAAGCGATTTTCTTCAGGAACATGCTTTTCTCTCATCACCACTGAAATAGTTGCAAAAGGCAGTATCCTATCATCAAGTCACCAATTATGCATGGCGAGTCCTTGACACTCCAGTTCTCTCAGAGTCAACAGAATCTTTGACGCTTCTATTTATATCTATCAGCCAGGGCTATCTGATTGGGCCAGATTAATTGCCCCGATCAGGAACTGCTATTCAGTTCTGTCCACCTGGCTGATCTTGTGTCAACCACTATTGGCATCACTGGCTAGGCCAGCATTTTTTGCCCAGAGGGCAGTTAAAAGTCAACCTTATTGCTGTGTGTCTGGAGTGAGATGTAGGCCAGACCAGGTCAGGACAGCAGTTTCTTTCCTTCCTTAAAGGACATTACTGTATGCCATGGACCATCCTCCTTCCACTGATAAACCAGTACTCCTCCATGTTGAACAATACTTGGAGAAAACACTGAGGGGAGCAAGGGTGAAAAATGTACTCGAGGTAGTGGATTTCAATGTCCACCACAAAGAATGGCTTGGCAGCAGCACTACTGATTGAGCTTGTTGGGTCCTAAAGGATCCAACTGCTAGTCTGAGTCTGCAGCAGATGGTGAGGAAACCAATGCGGGGAAAAACATACCTGACCTAATGCCTGCGGCAGATTCATCTGTCTGTGACAGTATCAGTAAGAGTGATCTTCTGCACAGTATTTGTGGATATGAAGTCCTGTCTTCACATTTAGAATGCCATCTATCGTGTTGTGTGGCACTATTGCTGTTATAAAACAGATTTTGAACAGATCTAGCAACACAAGACTGGGCATACATGAGGTACTTTGGACCATCAACACAGCAGAATTATACTCCAGCAAAATCTGCTACCTCTTAGCCTGGCATAACCCCCACTCAACCACTACCATAAAGCCAGGGGATCAATCCTGATTCAATAGATAGTATAGGAGGGCATGCCAGGAGCAGCACCCAGGCATAAAAATGTGTTAATCTGGTGAAGCTACCAAACAGGACTACTTACACGCAAGGCAGCATATGCAATAAGCAATAAACAGAGCTAAGCAATCCGACAACCAAAGGATCAGATCTAAGCTCTGCAGTCTTGCCATATCCAATGGACCATTAAACAACTCACTGGTGAAGGAGGCTCCACAAATATTCCATACTCAATTTTGGAAGAGCCCAGCATGTCAGTGCAAAAGATACGGCTGAATCATTCATGACAATCTTCAGCCAGAAGTACCGTGCAGATGCTCCAACTCAGCCTCCTCCAGTGGTCCCCAGCATCACAGATACCAGACTTCAGCCAATTCAGTTCACTCCACAAGATATCAAGAAATGGTTGGAGGCACTAGTTAGTGCAAAGGCTATGCACCCTGGCAACATTCTGACAATGGTACTGAAGACTTGTACTCCACAATGTGCTGCTCTTCTAGCAAAGCTCTTCCATGACGGTTACAGCATCCATCCAACAGTGTGGGAAATTGCCTACAAAAGGCAGGGCAAATTCAACCCAGCCAATATTGCCCTGTCAGTCTACTTTCAATCATCAGTAAAGTGATGGAAGGTGTCATCAATAATGCTATCAAGCTGCAAACAGCTCAGCAATAACCTGCTAACTGATGCCCAGTTTGAGTTCCACCAGGGCCATTCAGCTCCTGAACTCATTATAGCTTTAGTTCAAAAATGAACAAACGGGCTGAATTCCAAAGGTGAGGCGAGAGTGACAGCGCTGGACATCAAAACCACATTCAACTTGGTGTGGCATCAAGGCGCCCTAGCAAAACTGGAGTCAATGTGTATTAGGGGGAAAACTCTGTGCTGGTCCGAGTCATATCTGACTCATAGAAAGATGGTTATAGTTGTTGAAAGTCAGTCATCTCAACTTCAGGACATCTCAGCAGATGTTCCTTATATTAGTGTCCTAGGCCGAAAAACCTTTAGCTGCTTCTTCAATGACTTTCGCTCCATTGTAAGGTCAGAAGTGGGGATGTTTGCTTATGACTGCACAATGTTCAGCAACGCTCAGTAACAGCAGTGTGTACTCTCTACAAGATGCACTACAGAAATTCAACAAAGATGCTTAGATAGTATCTTCCAAACAAATGATGTGGAGGTGCTGGTGTTGGCAGAGTTTTCCCCCAATACACATTGATTCCAGTTTTGCTAGGGCACCTTGATGCCACACCAAGTTGAATGTGGTTTTGCTGTCCAGCGCTGTTACTCTCGCCTCACCTTTGGAATTCAGCCCTTTTGTTCATGTTTGAACCAAAACTATAATGAGTTCAGGAGCTGGTGGAACTCAAACTGGGCATCAGTCAGCAGGTTATTGCTGAGCTGTTTGCAGCTTGATAGCATTATTGATGACACCTTCCATCACTTTACTGATGATTGAAAGTAGACTGACAGGGCAATATTGGCTGGGTTGAATTTGCCCTGCCTTTTGTAGACAAAGTCAGAAGTCACATGACACCAGGTTATAGTCCAACAGCTTTATCACTGCCCCATCATCAGGTAAAGTGAAGAAAAGTCTATAAATTCTGTGCATATACACTTTTCTTCATTTCACCTGACAAAGGGGCTGTGCTGCGAAAGCTTGTGATTTCAAAAACAACTGTCGGACTATAACTTGGTGTCATGTGACTGCTGACATTTTTCCAAACAAATGACCATTTTCATCTAGAATGAAAAGGGCAGCAGATACATGGGAATATAACCACTTGCAAGTTCCTTTCCAAATGACTCACCATCCTGACTTGGAAATATATTGCTGTTCCTTCGTTGTCACAGGTTCAAAATCCTGGAATTCCCTCCCTAAGGGATTGTGGGTGAACCTAGAGCACATGGACTGCAGCAGCTCATGAAGAAAGCTCATCACCACCTTCTCAAGGGCAATTAGAGACAGGCAATAAATGCTGGCCAGCTAGCGATGGCCATGTTTCATGAGTGACTGAAAAAAAAACTCTTTGGGTTCATTTCTTTGAAACAGTAGAACACATTTATGTTATGAAGCAAGCATTACAGCAAATCAAGTTCCAAAAAAGAATCGTATTGGTCTCAAAATGTTAACTCTGTCTCTCTTTCTCCACAGATGCTGCCAGACTTGCTGAGTTTCTCCCACACTTTTTTTTATTGTACATGCAAACTAACTGATCTCTGAGTGTATTTAGCTTGCACAGC